ATTGCACATTAAACATGGTCTAGGTAATTGGAAGAATATCATTTGAAGCAATATACAGTGTATTTCCCTTTGTGGACGTTGCTCAGCAGTACCTGTAGCAACTTTATTCTTTCAAAGTGAACTTCAATATACCAATGTCTATATCACGATAACCGGTACATCACGATAACTTGTTTATCACAATAAGTGGTCCATCACGATAACCGGTACATCATGTGATTACCGGTACATCACGATAACTTGTTTATCACAATAAGTGGTCCATCACGATAACCGGTACATCATGTGATAACCGGTACATCATGATAACTTGTTTATCACAATAAGTGGTCCATCACGATAACCGGTACATCATGTGATTACCGGTACATCACGATAACTTGTTTATCACAATAAGTGGTCCATCACGATAACCGGTACATCATGTGATAACCGGTACATCATGATAACTTGTACATCCCAATGACGATAACTGATATATTATGATATATGGCACATCAAGATAACCGGTTCATCACGATACCTGGTACATTATGATAACGTGTAAAACATGATTACTGGTATATGTAGATCACGATAGCTGGTACATCACGTTACCTGATGCATCACGATATACGGAACTTGTAAAGAGCGTAAATTATATGATTTGTTTCTATTTTGCAATCGCGCTTACGTCACGATTTTTATTAACTGCTGTGATAATCGAGATGCTATCAAAATGGCATGTTATTTGGAATCTGATTCCTTGTTTTAAAAGCTATAATAATTATTATTTAATGCATTTCATTGACTTGAAATGCCCATACACACCCTATAACGAGAGAGTGTTTATACTGCACAGTTGACTAGCTTGTCAAAAAACTGGCGAAAGTAACGATAATATGGCTGCGCATCGATTGACGTATTATGACGTGTTTGTGTAAGACAAGCTTTGGACAGATCAAATATGCAAAATAATGGCCGATCGATGTTATTCTAGAAGAGATTACCTCAACGTTACAGGCACCAAACAATTTCACTTGAATAATGATTTCGAATCAATTGCTTTCCATAAAAGTGGGGATTAGTCTGCAACATCGATTCAATTTCATATGGAGAAAAACAAATTGTCAAAGCTTAAAGGATTCCGTATACTCGAAACCCCCTTCAGGACCCGTAAACTCCTCGTCAGATCCGTAAACACCAGAATACCCGTAAATGAAACTGGTTTGACGTTAAATCGCCGGCAAACTACAACTTTCTGCTCTCCAATTTGGTATGCTTCGATTTCGAATATTTTTAACGCTTCGCTAGATCAATTTTACTTCCAAGGATAATGGATCGTATTGTGATATTCCGCTATTCCCCCGTGCTGTTCAAAACAACACTCTATTCCTTATGTTTTACCACGGTAAATACGAAACCCACGTTTTTCTAAAGTGAAAGTTTACAAAAGTGTGGCTTTCTATCGATCGCCTCAGTGATATCATTTTTGTCTGTATCATAGTTTGTCCAATCGATGCCTTCGGCTTCACTGCTTTGTGTGAGTGTCCGATAGTCACGAGGAGCTGGAGCTGATATGGCTGAGGCTGACGATAGGAATACGGTCTATATTCATAGTAATGAGTGACCTTAAAAGTCCGTAAATAATACTTTACGTATAAAGTTTTTGTTCCTGTCGCGACTCTAAAAACAAAATCGCAAATTCAACGTGATAATCACGATTACTGGCACATCACGATTACTGAATTATCACGATAGCTGGTACATTTCGTTAGCTGGTACATCATGATAACTGGTACATCACTATAACTGGTACATTAAGATATCTGGTACATCAAGATAACATGTACATCACAGTACCTTGTACATCACGATAACCGGTACATCACGGTAACTTGTACATCACAATAATCGGTACATCACGATAACTGGTACATCACGGTGACTTGAACGTCACGATAACTGGCACCGAAGCCACTAACATTGTTTATTAATCATATTATTCATTTCTATTTTGCAAATACGTGTAGCTGCTGTAATAATTGCCATATTAACTATTAAACGATTTTAACATTCTAAGCTGATTAAAGTGCCATCGTACTTAGAGTTGTTAGTAAACACCCTCGTAACGAGAGATCGGAACGGTAGAAACCGGGACAGAGCAAATATGCAAAATAAAATAACAGGAAAAAAAGAAGGCGGTCGATGTTATCCGAAAAGAGATTTACTCAAGGCAACGCACGATTTGACTTCCGGTTGAATAATGATCCAGAATCAATTGCTTTCCACAAACATGGGCATTGGTCTGATGGATCGATTCAACTTTCATATGGAAGCAAATTATTGTCAACGCTGTTGAATGTGTCTAAAGTTTATTGATTTCTGTATTGTTGATTTTTTTATCATCTAATACGTGTATAAACAAATTTATAGATATTATCTACGTCCTGATAAATTTATGTATTTCATATAAATCTTATCCCAACATTATATGATGCTCTCTGTGTTTTAAGCGGATAGGATCTGATTCTAAACCTCTTACCATAGCAATGCTTTCATGACCATTTGCAAAGACAAAACCACTTCCGACAGGTCTACAAGGATTTTTGATTTATTGTTAATACCAGAATGAAGACACGACAATAACGAAGCAGGCGGCACTTGCCCTTTCACTTCCGGTTTTTATATTAGCGGTCATTATTTCAGAGGTATTGCCAATTTCTTCACTTTTTGATGAGATTACGTCAACTGGACAGAATCCATTGTCACATTTTCACTGATTAACACAGAGTACACAAAGGGATGTACTTCTCACGAACGATTTAACACATATTTGATGGTAATTGAAAATGATCGGCAAACACGTTGGACTGTGTTGGATATTGACACAGAGTGTGCTTTATTTCGCACCTAATAGCTAGGGACGGAAGCGACTGGTAGACAATGTGCCGTCAAAGACATCATAATTTACACCAAAACACTTTTTATTGCAAATGCTGAGTCCCCACTTGTTTGGAAAACGAATGTGTGCTGACAACGAGATTATCGTTTTTCGTCTGATCTGGATCCCAAAGAAGCTTTGATTGGATTCCTACCGAACGGGACCTCACACCACAACCCGCAATCAGTTAATGTAACTGGCGCTAATTCGTAATTTCGACTCGACTAAAGTCACTCGAGTTCAATCTTAAATACATTTTTGTTTCAATTGCTGTCAAAACTACAACATAATTTTACTCGAACGAAATTAACACAACTCGCAATTCTTTTAACAACGTGTCTAATCGAATCAATACCAAAGTCTATCCAGTTGTGTCATTCGGTAGATGTACATGTTGGGAAGCAGCCATCTGTCGCTAAGAGGAATAACAACAGGAAACCTTTTTTGAGTATTTGTATATATGCCACAGAAATCACAAGAAGTACTAAAATCGACAAAACGATACTCATTTTGGCAAATATCACGACATTTCAAATATGTATGAAAAAGCTAAAAAAAAATACAATATGACACATGTACACAGTATCTTTATAAGCAACAAAAATATCACAGTTTCAATAATATTCGAAGTATCAAAAGCAAAAGACCATTTGTGTCTTGAAAAATGATAAAAGAAAAACGTCACGACAGCAATGTTTGGGTAAATAGAAAAATGACTGACATTTTTAAATAGTCAAGCGGAATAATATTCTTACTGGACAAGACTGGCTGTGTAAATCACTTATCACTGATAACGTGTTCTCGCAGTTGCTTTTCTAACTATATTTCCAAGAATCGTAATTTGCGAAAGAAAACACACGTGATATGTGTAATGATATCTTGAGTCTTAATCGCGACCGTCTATCCTTAGGAATTAACGAAGGGCCAACTTAGCTTAAACCGTCAGTCACCAGTCAAATTTTCCTGTAAAACTTTAAACCCATACACACATGGGCATGAACAAATGAATACATCCATGCTACCAGGTCTGTCACCCTAGTTCAACCTCACCCCTAGTGACGTACTCCCTTAGGTGATGACATGGAAATGATAAAGATCCTAATCCTATAGCCGTATTTTTATTGCTAGATGACCACAATCGTCCTTCCAGGATTTGTACTGCCTCAGGGAGTTTGTCTATTGATACTAACTAGATAATGGTTGAGATACCAACACTGAAACTATATGAACACAATTATACTACTAGTGAAAACCCTGAGGTCCGGCCCCACGGCTTGGGACTTAGTCCCTATATTGTTACTGAGTTCCATGGTCATTTCTAACAGTTTACACGTAAATATACATATTTTCTCCTGATATAAAGTGCCCTTAGAATCAATTGTTATATAAAGGAAGAGTGTTACACCCCCTGGGGCTGGAAATAAGTGCACAAAAGGTGATGAATGGAGCCTTGGTCTTTTAAAACATACTCGGGAAATTTAAACATAATTTTACTCAATTTTTTATAAAGCATACTTTTATGATCAGAGGATAAATGCAAGAAAAAAGGACGTTGTTCCCATGAGTGCCGAGAGACAGGGGCAAAAGTGGAGAAAATACATCGTTATGATTGCTTAAGTATCAAGGTGAGCGATACAGGTCTTCTGTGCCTCTTGTTTTGTTACACTGTTATAACACTTATAACCTACTTGAAATCTAGTAACAAAAACATTCTAAATATTAATATATAGTAAAAGAAAGAAAACTGGATATTGTTTTGCACCCAAATACGTGAAAACCCTGTCTATGGTCTTCTACAGCTTTGGATGGTTACCAGTTCTAATTCAGTGTATACCTAGTTGTAATATAAAACGCCGCTGATAAATCATAAGATATACAATGTACACTAAACATATCACAGTTTGCAAAATTATATCACATACCATTATATTTTAAATAAAATATCACATTCATAAGTAACTGACTTATCACATCATTAATATACGTGAAACCTTTAGATACCGTACCAATCAGTAAAAAAAAGTAGAAACGAAATTATTTTTAACATTATAATGAGATTTCTAAATCAACGAGTGAATCGATAATCACAGGTGTTTTATTTATGTATTTTGCCCTTGGAGAAGTTCGATGCCTCAATGATTCGCCAGAGGTCCCGATCCAAGCTCTGTAGTTTCACAGGACGGGCTGACCCTGTGAAGCGGAGACTTTCTCGTAAGGGCGGCAGGCGCAGGTCGCTATGGACTGTCATGTTCGAAGAACAGGGAATTCTTGGCAATGGGTCCCTAAATGAACGCAGTTTAAGTGGATCCACAGTTTTGGGGTCCGATTTCAGTTCAACAGATACTGGTTTGAATTCATCTGGCACCTCATATCTAAAAACATTTTCTCTTGGAGGTGATTTTTCTTTCCCCTTTTGATGCTTCTTACTTTTCTTCGGCTTTCCTTTACGAAAGTACCCAGTATTGTTCAATGCTTGTTGATCTATAGGGACTTGTAGGGTGATACCTCCAGCCATCCCAACCTCACGTGTTGGCGTGATAATGACCTTGTCCATGGTTTTCCGGTCACACAATCGCTTTTGATCAGGTGACACGGAATGTGTGCTGTTCGTGAGTCGCGGTCTGTTTCCGGAAGTTCGCGTAAGAGTCTGAGCGTTACTTGCACGTGGTGTTGTGGAAAGTCTAGACACAGACAGAAGATTTTCCGCCATGTTTTCCGACTCTCGTCCACACCGAGATTCCCGCGGACTTGGGTCTATCGTTGTGTTTGGTGTTAGTCTTTCGTGATCCCCGTAGCACGTCTTGCCGTTCCTAACATCTCTGAAGCTACTCGTGCCTTTAGCACTAGACATGACCAGAGTGTTGACAAGCTGCGCGAGATCCTGGTGTCGTTCCTTCCGTTTGCTGCAGTTCTTTTTATGTCGCCGTGACAACATATCCACCACCCCATCCTGCGCTACATACCCAGATGACTTGCTCGAATGTTTGCCCTCTTTCGTGTTCTTTTTGCTATCCTCCTGATTATTGACCATTTGGCCGTAAAGGCGGCTTGGTTCATGAGGGGCTCCCGGGACCTGCGTACGGTTCCCCTCCTCCTTGTAGTTTATATCGTAATCTTCACATATTTGTTTTATGTCCGCCGCACACTGACGAACGGCCAGGACCAAGTCTCCGACCTCCCCCTGTTTCTGCTCCCCATCGCCGTCCTCTCGCGAAGCGCTCGCATTAGGCTTGTCAGCAACAGAACTAGGCGCCCTTTCAATATCCTCGTGATTTGTCTTATCCGATAATTTCACAAATTCGTCAGCTAGTTCACGCTTAAAGTGATGAAACGCATTTGCATCGACAGACGTGGCCAATGAATCATAACTTACACTTTTCCCTATGTCCGTTCGGAAGCTGTCCAATCCGGACTTGGGACGAAGTGACTGATCATCATCTGACTTCCGGATCTTTCGCTTTGTGCTACTTCCGTAATCCGTATATTGTTTCCGTAACTCATTTTTCTTAAGACGTGACAGTAAGGCTAACGCCCCAGCACTCCGTTTATCGATAGCTTCTTCGAAAGCATTTCGACCGAATACATTTCTCAGTGAAAGGTCAACCTTTTGTTGACCGGAAGTGTGTAATTTCAGAATTAATTCCACCATGTCGACATTATTGAGCTGACACGCAAACATCAGACCGGTCATACCTTTGTTGTCCTGAGCATTGATATCGGTTCCTTCCTGAAACACAGAATCGTATCCGGTACATTAGTACTAGAAATGAAGAAGGCATTACGTTAATGGCTCGTAATATGTATCAAATAAAATGATCATATAGGACAACATTTTGCGATAAATATATCTGTAGAAATAGCCTGACGATTCGTCTCTATTTCAACACCTACCGTCTACTGTACGGCCCTTTGTGATATAAATGCGTTGAAGGACTGTTGGGATACCGTATAAGCCCGTATGACAAACTTGTGTTAAGCTAAGACAGCCAAGAAAACTGTATGGTTCTGTATGACAAAAGTACTTGATGCGCTATTAATGCAACCTAGCGGTATGGCCCTGTATGACTGATGGACCGTTAAGACTACAGTGTGGTGGCCTGTTACGACTACCATATAACTAAGGGCCTGTTCGTTTATTCAGAACAACCGGTTTGTCGGTTTTAAAATGTAACATTTTCGAGTAGAAATCCTGGCGGCCTGCAAATGTTTATGCATGCATTGCAAAGCTTTGTGAATGCTCGCCTGAAAGCAGCATACGATTACTAGGTCCGACCTTAATTCATAAACGAACAACTTTGGTCCGCCCGGTTCAACCGTTTAAACGAAAACGGCCTTTGTGTATTAATGGTTCATTACGACTACCGCGTGTAGGACCGTTAAGACTACTGTGTGTTGGACCGTTAAGACTACTGTGTGTTGGGCCGTTAAGACTACTGTGTGATGTACCGTTAAGACTACTGTGTGATGGACCGTTAAGACTACTGCGTGATGGACTGTTAAGACTACTGCGTTTATGGACTATTAACACTACTGCGTGATGGAACGCTAAGACTAATGCGTGATGGACCTTTAAGACTACAACGTGATGGACTGTTAAGATTAATGCGTGATGGACCGTTAAGATTAGTGCGTGATGGACCGTTAAGCCTACGGTGTGTTGGACCGTTAAGACTACTGCGTGATGGACCTTTAAGACTACTGCGTGATGGACATTTAAGACTACTGCGTGATGGACCGTTAAGACTAGAGTGTGATGGACCGTTAAGACTACTCCGTGATGGACTGTTAAGACTACTGCGTGATGGACCGTTAAGACTAGTGTGTGATGGACCGTTAAGACTACTGCGTGTTGGACCTTTAAGACTACTGCGTGATGGACAGTTAAGACTACTGCGTGATGGACCTTTAAGACTACTGCGAGATGGACCGTTAAGACTACTGCGTGATGGACCGTTTAGACTACTGCGTGATGGACCGTAAATACTACTGCGTGATGGACCGTTAAGAGTAATGTGTGGTGGACCGTTAAGACTACTGCGTTTATGGACCGTTAAGACTACTGCGTTTATGGACCGTTAAGACTACTGCGTGATGGACCGTTAGGACTACTGCGTGATGGACCGTTAAGACTACTGCGTGTTGGACTTTTAAGACTACTGCGTGATGGACAGTTAAGAATACTTCGTTTATTGACCGTTAAGACTACTGCGTGATGGACTGTTAAGACTACTGCGTTTATGGACCGTTAAGAATACTGCGTGATGGACCGTTAATACTACTGCGTGATGGACCGTTAAGAACACTGTGTTTATTGACTGTTAAGACTACTGCGTGATGGACCGTTAAGACTACTGCGTGATGGACCGTGAAGACTACTGCGTTATGAACCGGTAAGACAACTCTGTGATGGACATTTAAGACTACTGCGTGATGGACCGTTAAGACTACTGCGTGATGGACCGTTAAGACTACTGCGTGATGGACCGTTAAGACTACTGCGTGATGGACCGTTAAGACTACTGCGTGATGGACCGTTAAGACTACTGCGTGATGGACCGTTAAGACTACTGCGTGATGGACCGTTAAGACTACTGCGTGATGGACCGTTAAGACTACTGCGTGATGGACCGTTAAGACTACTGCGTGATGGACCGTTAAGACTACTGCGTGATGGACCGTTAAGACTACTGCGTGATGGACCGTTAAGACTACTGCGTGATGGACCGTTAAGACTACTGCGTGATGGACCGTTAAGACTACTGCGTGATGGACCGTTAAGACTACTGCGTGATGGACCGTTAAGACTACTGCGTGATGGACCGTTAAGACTACTGCGTGATGGACCGTTAAGACTACTGCGTGATGGACCGTTAAGACTACTGCGTGATGGACCGTTAAGACTACTGCGTGATGGACCGTTAAGACTACTGCGTGATGGACCGTTAAGACTACTGCGTGATGGACCGTTAAGACTACTGCGTGATGGACCGTTAAGACTACTGCGTGATGGACCGTTAAGACTACTGCGTGATGGACCGTTAAGACTACTGCGTGATGGACCGTTCAGACTACTGCGTGATGGACCGTTAAGACTACTGCGTGATGGACCGTTAAGACTACTGCGTGATGGACCGTTAAGACTACTGCGTGATGGACCGTTAAGACTACTGCGTGATGGACCGTTAAGACTACTGCGTGATGGACCGTTAAGACTACTGCGTGATGGACCGTTAAGACTACTGCGTGATGGACCGTTAAGACTACTGCGTGATGGACCGTTAAGACTACTGCGTGATGGACCGTTAAGACTACTGCGTGATGGACCGTTAAGACTACTGCGTGATGGACCGTTAAGACTACTGCGTGATGGACCGTTAAGACTACTGCGTGATGGACCGTTAAGACTACTGCGTGATGGACCGTTAAGACTACTGCGTGATGGACCGTTAAGACTACTGCGTGATGGACCGTTAAGACTACTGCGTGATGGACCGTTAAGACTACTGCGTGATGGACCGTTAAGACTACTGCGTGATGGACTGTTAAGACTACTGCGTGATGGACCGTTAAGACTACTGCATGATGGACCGTGAAGACTACTGTGTGATCGACCGTTAAGACTACTGCGTGATGGACTGTTCAGACTACTGCCTGATGGACCGTTAAGACTACTGCGTGATGGACTGTTAAGACTGCTGCGTGATGGACCGTTAAGACTACTGCGTGATGGACCGTTAAGACTACTGCGTGATGGACCGTTAATACTACTGTATGGTGGACCGTAAAGACTACTGCGTGATGAACTGTTAAGACTACTGCGTGATGGACCGTTAAGACTAGTGTGTGATTGACCGTTAAGACTACTGTGCGATAGACCGTAACGACTACTGCGTGATGGAATGTTAAGACTACTGTGTGATGGACCGTTAAGATTACTGCGTGATGGACCGTTAAGACTACTTCGAGATGGACCGTTAAGATTAATGCGTGATGGACCGTTAAGACTAGTGTGTGATGGACCGTTTAGACTACTGCGTGATGGACCGTTAAGACTTCTGCGTGATGGACTGTTAAGATTAATGCGTGATGGACCGTTAAGACTACAACGTGATGGACTGTTAAGATTAATGCGTGATGGACCGTTAAGACTACGGTGTGGTGGACCGTTAAGACTACTGCGTGATGGACATTTAAGACTACTGCGTGATGGACTGTTAAGACTACTGCGTGATGGACTGTTAAGACTACTGCGTGATGGACATTTAAGACTACTGCGTGATGGACTGTTAAGACTACTGCGTGATGGACCGTTAAGACTACTGCGTGATGGACATTTAAGACTACTGCGTGATGGACTGTTAAGACTACTGCGTGATGGACTGTTAAGACTACTGCGTGATGGACATTTAAGACTACTGCGTGATGGACTGTTAAGACTACTGCGTGATGGACTATTAACACTACTGCGTGATGGACTGTTAAGACTACTGCGTGATGGACTGTTAAGATTAATGCGTGATGGACCGTTAAGACTACGGTGTGGTGGACCTCATTACATTCTATTATTTGGATTTGACCTAGATTTACAATACATGTGACGTCAATGAAGCATTAGATACCTACCCTTCCGGAACACATGGTTTATTCTTCTAACTTTTTTTTTCAACGTACATCTTGTCATTGTTCCTATTTTGGCCTCGTTTTATCGATTTCAGTTTGAGTTACGGTGCTGTTGACACTCGGTATTCTCTTTCCTCGTCAAAATTTTATTTTATTTAATTCATACTATTTCACTTTCTTTTATAAAACTCATATAAAGTTTAGATTGTTATAAAATACTTGTGTCAAATTGTTAAAAGACGACGTTTTAGTTCTCTTGAAAGCGTTGCTAGATTGATTGATACTTAAATAATCTACTTCCATTGCCTTTTATACCAATTAAACAGACACACGGAGATATATTGCCTTTATGCTGCGTTATTCCACTTCCACGAGACATTACAAGCACCACAAGAACATTGCATCGATACAGAGGCAGAATACCGCCCCTGGTTGTAGAATTTTTAAATAATATGATAGATGCGGTATAGATTTTATAATTTTTTTGTTCGTCTTTTAATATGATAATGGAGCATTGTCGATATCGACGGTGAGTTTTTCATATTTTTTATTATTATTTCCTCAGTTCCTTTCGTAGTTTGTTGCAAAACACTGAAGGACAAATGTTACATCATAGTTAATGGAATAAAACTGTTGATGAATGGGTGTATTGTTGTCGATTTCCAGGGCATGGTATGCACTACAAATAAATTAACACATTTCTCTGAAAGTGTCGTCATTCTGACACGATACCGCGTGACTCGTGCACAGTTAACACCGCTCAATTTGGTGCTACAACTTGTTATTTAACTTTCTATGTGTTGGTATAGCACTCAAATATAATGCATATAAGTTTTAATCGATAAACTATTATACAGCCGAGCCCGGCAGAGCTCAATAAAGGTTTGGTTCAATTAAGGAAATACAAAAAAAAATCCTTCGGAATCTTTCTATATGAGGACATATTATGGTACGGACGGTCACTTCCTTTATTATTTCCCCCACGATTCAGCAAGCTAACCATACTTGCGTTTCAAAAGCAATCCTGGTAGGCCACTCCGAAAGGATTTATTTCATTGGTTTGGAACCTAACGCCTCTGTGAAGAAAGGACTAGGTTCCAAACAAAGAATGAAACTGGAGCGTCCAAGAAATACGCGATTGGTAGATTCACATCCTCAAATTTTGAGAATGGTTTCGGTTTTTAAACATGGAGGGAAAATTTTCGATTCCGTTTTTGCTTTACCGCCACTTTCAATGGATTAATTGTTATTCCACGTAAAGTTTCAATACTGGAAGGGATTGACAACGTTCCGTCAACAACAACAAAACCTATTCAAATATGTTGTGTATCATTATATAATTCTTAGGACATGTGTATTATGAATGCATGTGAAGTCACATTGTTCGTCCTTTGGTGCGAGTTTCGGCCGAAGGATGAAAAATAATAACTCGAGATCATGTTCTCAAAGCAAGAACGACCAATTGTTAAAGCATTCCTTAACTTCCGGTTTAAACCCACCTTTTGTAACAAGATGAAAGCCACTTCCGGGTAATCCATGATGCACGTGTACATGAAAGGGGTTTGACGTAAGCCGTTTATGACATTGGTGTCAGCTCCAAGGCTGATCAGGGTTTTCACAATTGGAGCCACTAATTGCGAATCAACATTAGCTATGGCGGCCATCAATGGCGTCTCATGGCGGTCGTTTCTGGCTTCGATGTTCTTCCCGTTCGCAAATAGCAATTGGAGCTGCAATAAGTAAATTTGATCTTTATGTCTCATTACAAAACACTGCAGGTCAAAAGAACACATATAGCAGGGGAGTTACATAGAAAGCTTTTCTATACGGTAGCTTAACGAGTTGTTAACGCAAATTCAAAAACAACAAATATATCATTTGTGTAAGTTGCCATTAATTGAAGATTGGAATTATTATACATACATGTACAAAATATAGTTTAGAGATTCAACATTTTAAGAAAATACGGTAGTTTAAAATTTTGCTTTTTCTGACATGGTTTTGAAGAAATTGGCCCTGGCGATAATAATAATCAGCACTAACATAACCCTACATGCTGGGGATTTAGAACAGACTATACTTGCTGTTACACACTGCATGTTGTAAGATCAGTATAACGTGACCGGGTTTAATACCGTGGTGGATGCCTTCGGCATGGTATTTCAGTGAGGGAGTACTTTAAAGTCGGCATCAGATCAGCGCCTACCTGGGCGAGGAGAGTTGATCATTTTCAGGGGAAAGAATTCACATATTTCAAATTAAAAAAAGAAGAGTAAAATACCTGTCCATGTAGTACCTGTCCATGTAGGTACTTTATCTTTAATAATTATTTACCATAGAGAAGGACTGCACGTCTGTCTTTCATCAACCATGCATTATCCATAAAATTTCAATAGTAATCTTTGGTTTGTAGTTCAAGCACCTCTTCCCTTCACAATCCTAAATAAAACCTCCCATGTGAAAACCACTCCTTCTTTTGTCAGAAACAAAACCTCTCTCGATTTTGTTAGCAACAAAACATCTCTTTATTTTGTCAGAGAAAATGGATGAAGCAGTTTGATTTCTCAAGTCAAGACATTTAAGTCTGATTAGTTTTCAATGAAAGAAGTTCAGATTTTGTATAAAGCTTAATTTCAGAAAAATACCTAATTCTTTTTAAAAAAATCACGGATTTATATAATCAAATGCAGAAAGAAAACACAAAATGTGTTTTAAACATTTATGTACTGAAAAAAAAGCCTCTCGAGAAAATTCCAGTTGTAGGTTAAGGACATTACAAATTCATATTAAACAGATAGCCGTCAAATCGATATAACGTCAACGGTCGTGGAGTATTGACTGTCTACTAGATGTATACCTATAGGTAGGTACGTATCACTGTACTTTTGCTGTTCAAAGCATCAATAGCTATCTTCCGTATGAAGGATATTTTTTACATGAATATGTATCCATCTTTACAACGCTAAAAGCATAGTGTGGTTACATTGGAAAACGTCGTGTCTTAATATCGTCTACGGTCGCGGAATGTTCGGATTTCAAAAATGATAACAATGCCTGGAGTATTCCTGTTTCAACTTCATTAAACACATATCCGATTATTTTCGATACGAAAATGACCAGTTGACGTCAGAAATGCTAATTACATATACAGTATTGACAACTATATTTCATACCTATTGATCTACGTCAGTTTCTGAGATTATTTATGGAATACATTGCAAGTCTTTTGTGTATAGAGGTCATAAGATTTCTACCGGAAGTACGTCTTATCGACCGCTTGCGGGTGAGACTATTTTCTACCAAAACGCATATAATACATAGCAGGCAGACTTCGGTTACTCGGTCAAGATTACTGCCTTGTTTGTTTAATACAAAAATTCCCTCAATAACAAAAAAAAAAATGTCTTTTCACGATTTATCCTTTCTGCTATCCTGTTGATATGCTATCGAGCTTCATGTTATAATAATTATGATATATAGATTTAATATGTTATATAAAGTTATATAGTTATTCTGTGTAAGATTGTTACGTATATTAGACAAAAACAAAAAGTATGTATGTTTCAGGTAACAATTGGTTGGGTCGGGAGACAAACATTTCATTTTAATTTTATATTTTCACGTATCCGTTTATTTCTGCATTACATCAAATTTTTACAATGATTTCCCACACATTATAGCTGGTCTTAAGCTATCCAGAATGGGATCGGACACTCAGAATAGGAAGAAAATATATTTTAATGAGTGACTGCGAGCTTTGCAAATCGTGGATGCATGTAGGTTACAAAATTATGTTCAAGGGTAAGCAGGCAAACCTAGGGTAGGTCGGGATACCTGAAATACATATATATATTCTTCAGCTTAGTAAATTGCGTATAAATTAGCGTATACGCAATGAAAAAAGGCTCAGCTCAGATTGATACTTGTTTCAAATATGGCGCCGTTCACGCTTCAATGAGATAACAGTCCAATGACATATGAAACACACACGGTGATTTTGTTATGATTAAAATCAAGTGACAGAACAAATCGACTTAGGCATATATATAACGGTTCTTGACACATTGCCAAGGAAAATTAACGAAACTCCATTGATAAATGCTTATCCTTTTTTTGTTGATAAATCATTATCTGTGTGTGTATTGATTCCAGATGGTAAATATAAACTGATTTTCCTGGTTCTCCAGTTACCTTACTAATCGTCAACAATATCTTCATGGAAATGATAGTTCATCTCTTAATTATATATACCTGCGTGTGTATCGCAGGGATCTGTTCTCGGTCCTCAATTAGTTAAAACATTATTTTATTTCCAAGATTTGGACATTAAACATACTACAAAACACAGTATAAAGAGGATTTGAAAACAAGCTAAGAACTTATTCCTCTCCTCTATTGGGCATTACGGCAGAGTTAACATGGACATCAATGAGGACAGATGGACATCAATGAGGACAGATGGACAAAACGGTAACGAGATATGGAGATGTAACTCGGCTGTAAGCTATATTACCGTTACATTGGAATAGGAGTAAAGAAAATAAAAAATATAAACAAACAAAACAATAAAAACATTTTGGAACCTCAGTGGTGTAAAAACAAAAGTAAACAATATCTATTACTGCTGATGATGATAAAGTCATGTACTCAAAGAAATAGCCCAGAATTTTCCCTATCATTTATTTCATGATCACCCCACAAAAGAACATCTACATATTTTATATGCCATATTTTAAAACGGTATTTGATCAAAACTTTTGTCTACTTTGAGTGTATCTGTAAAATGATAACTATCTTCAATGGTTAACCCACAGGATCAACGCGATGAGTCGATACGGTTTTTATGAAAGAATTGTTCTTTGAGTGAGCTACATTTGAGTCTGAGTCTAGAGTGGAGTATTTGACCTTTGCGATTACCGGCGTTGAGGTAGTTTGGAGCGTTTGTTGTATTGCCATTGCTAAGATAAGTTTTGAGTGTATGGACTGATGAATTTTCTGTTACATTTTGGGGTAACTTATTCCAAAGGCGAATCGATGAAATGTGAGTTTTGAGAGCTTTGTGAAGGTCAGTTCTCCTTGCATTGTGAGTGTGGTTTTCAAGCTGAATCTAATGAACATGCCATGAAAAAAGATGATGAAAACCAAAGATGTTTATGATTTTGAAATACAGTTTAAACACTATTGTTTCTATATTAATCACCATGATAATGTTTCAAAGCTTTTCTTATAAAAACAAAAATCGGTTTTATTTGGGTTGAATGTCACCAACCATGTATCTGCCCTTTTTTGGATGGTATATAAATCATTATTTATTATATTTCTAGCTTCATTCGGATAGTCAATTATTACATTAAGAGAGGTGTCTTCAGCAAAGAGTTTGGCATTACACCTTAGTTTAATAACAATATATTTTATGTAAATATGAAATAAAAGAGGCCCAAGTATCGATCCTTATGGAACACCTACCGTAATATCTTTAAGAGTTGAATATTCCCCGCCTAAATCTACCTTTTGCTTCCTATTTTCCGAATAACTTTCGAACCATTTAATAAAGTTTCCGGATAAACCTACTAATTTCAATTTGTATAATAAACCTTTATGCCAAACCCTGTCGAAATCTTTTTTTTTATATCACAGAACACTGTTTTACGGTAGTCACCCGTAGTAAACCCAGACTGATGTTCAGCGAAAAAAGTGTTTCCCCCAAAAAAATGAAAATATCTTTAAAAACACAACGTTCCATTAACTTACCAACAATACTTATTAGAGAAATTGGTCTATAATTAGATCCGTCTTCATATGACCTTGGTTGTTGTTAGGACCAACAAACGAACAAACTATAATTAGATACAATTGCCTTATCTCCCTTTTTAAAAACAGGTGTAACATTTGCAATTTGCCAACAGTCTGAATATGTACTGTCTCTTATGGACATGCTAAAATATATATCTAAGGGGATCACATAACACATCTTTACCTTATTTTAGAATTTAACATGAATTAAATCGGGATCATCTGCCTTAGAGACACCAAGTTCACTTATTGCATCTTTAACATCATGTGGTTTTATATTGATTGTGTCTAGATGACGATGAGGAAATGTGTTGTTTCGAGGAAGTGAGTCATGAACACTGGACTGTTCGCAGACACAAGTAGTAAATGTGTCTGCTTTGTATTGGTCATCGATGATTAACAAGCTATTGTGTATCAAAGGAGGAATAAGCAAATATTTATCTGTAAAATACCAGTAGTTTTGTTAGCTATTTTACACCAATCACGAGAGGAGCAATGTGTTAACGTTTGTTAGCTACACATGTAGTTTAAAATCGCAATATGCCTTTGGTTTGCTTATATGTAGCAGCAACACAAGAATTTCTTGCACTTTAAACTAATTCCAATTATTCTGAGTACGTTTTGCCTTCCTATGAATTCTCTTTCTTGACCTTATTAAAGTTCTCATGAAATTAAATTGAGGGAAATGCAAACACTTGGAAATTGGTAATACATCCAGAATAGCCAGTACAACAACAGACCAGGAGAGAGACCTCGGAGTGACATTCGACAAACAGCTCAAATTCAGCGAGCATGTGTCTGCAGCCGTTTTCAAGGAAACAAAATGTTAGGATTTTTTTTTAGAACATTTACATTTCTAAATCAATCTACATTCCTATCTTTATACAAATCACTTGTCATACCTCATATTGAGTATTGCTCCACAATATGGTCACCCCCTCCTAAAGAAAGACATGCCATCACTGGAAAACAATTATTACATTACAAGACTTGCCTTACCCAGATCGACTAAAACGACTAGGATTGCCCACACTTGAATATAGAAGACTACGGGCTTGTACAAGATTATGAATGATGTGGACGATGCAGACAAGTCCAAATTATTTATTGAACATCCGGCAACTGGAGGTCACAAGAGAAAGCTCTATAAGAAACAATGCCGCCTAAACACCACCAAGAACATTTTCAGAAATCGTGTTGTTACCGACTGGAACAATTTATCAGATTAAGTGGTTAACGCCGAAAGTTTAAATAGTTTTAAAAATAGGCTAAACGTGCACTGGAAAGATCAAAAACACACGTTTTATCCGTCCTTTTAATTTGCTAGGTATATAATTAAAATATACTAATTTGACTGTTATACTTCACTAGTCGAGACGCCTTGATATAATTTAATGTCAGATGACATTCTTTGGGCACTCTACCATCAATCAATTAATGATATGCAGATAAATAACATCATTACAAGCCACAGGCTTCCATTGATGTCTTACCTATGAGATACTTATGAGAATACTATTATGCAAATGGAGAAAGGCATTTTGAAATAAAATTCCAGTTTGGGAGAGGGAGGTTCCTGAAGCCTACAATGTTTTCTGGACCATCCAATGCAACGTCTTTTTAAATAAGCTAAGACCACTGGAAAACAGATACATCGAGTACTAGCACCATTTCCTTTTATAATCTTAACAATTGGTACCAGAAAGACATACTGGTCTCTGCATATAGATGCAGATATCTGTCTGCATTCGTCGTTAACCTAATTAAATTGTAAAATATAACAGTCTACCTTTTTACAAATTAATCTATTTTACAGCCATATCAATCAGTAATATTTAACGAAATTCTCACCTGTCTCGGGTTTTGACATTCTTGTACCAGACGAAACTCGTCCGACATATTTTCCGCCTTTTTATCCACCTTTGAGATCGCACATTATGTCCGTCATCATTCTACCCCGAATAACAGCCTCTGTAACTCAGCTTAACACCCGGACAACTAATTATGACGTAGTCAACAATACACCATTTCTCTGACGTCATTGGAATTGTCGGTCGTCTTATAAAAAGCCTATAAAATGAAGTGGCCTTAATATGCTTTCATTATCGTTCTGGAATACGCTCCGATACCAGAGATTTCTATGGAGAATTGATCGCCGCAATCTGGATAGATATTTACAGAAATAGTGTTACTGCCTTGCTCAATCGATGGGTCACTATTGGTCATATAATGGCGTATGTTTACCTGCAGTAATGTGGACTAAGGTACGCTCCTAGAGGCATGTACTTTCAAAACGGATAGAGTGTGTCCTATATTGCAATTTTTCTATGTCCATTCAATTACATTAGTTTCATTTTGTTGGCGACGTCACATAGCGATCAATATTAATTGTGAACGGTATCCTATATAAAGTACAGATTGGATTTTTTTCTGCCCAATGTATCAAAAAAGATGTGCAATTAATTAGATATATCTTAATTATCAATTATTCACCAGTGAAAAGTAAGGTGTTAACCAGTGCAAAACTGACAATACCATACTGTTTGACTGTGAACGATTTGAATATCAAAGTATGCATATCCACTAGTGAACTATAACTGGTATTCACACACTCGTGAATTTAAACGATATTTACCCATCCGTGCAGTTTAACTCAGTGGTATTCAACATATTCGTGAAATATAACAGATATTCCCTCATCCGTAAAATATAACTGGTATTCAACCATTTGTCAACTACAACTCGTACTCACGCACAAGTGAAATATAACTGGTATTCATCCACTCGTGAAATACAACTGGTATTCATCCACTCGTGAAATATAACTGGTATATACTCATCCGTGACATGTCACTGGTATACACTCATCCGTGAAATGTCACTGGTATACACTCATCCGTGAAATGTCACTGGTATACACTCATCCGTGAAATGTCACTGGTATACACTCATCCGTGAAATGTCACTGGTATACACTCATCCGTGAAATGTCACTGGTATACACTCATCCGTGAAATGTCACTGGTATACACTCATCCGTGAAATGTCACTGGTATACACTCATCCGTGAAATGTCACTGGTATACACTCATCCGTGAAATGTCACTGGTATACACTCATCCGTGAAATGTCACTGGAATTCATCCACTCGTGAAATACAACTGGCATTCATCTAATCATGAAATACAATTGGTATACACTCATCCGTGAAATGTCACTGGTATACACTCATCCGTGAAATATAACTGGTATTCATCCACTCGTGAAATACAATTCATCTAATCGTGAAATACAACTGGTATACACTCATCCGTGAAATGTCACTGGTATACACTCATCCGTGAAATATAACTGGTATTCACCCACTCGTGAAATATAACTGGCATTCATCTAATCGTGAAATACAACTGGTATACACTCATCCGTGAAATGTCACTGGTATACACTCATCCGTGAAATGTCACTGGTATTCATCCACTCGTGAAATATAACAGATATTATTAATAATAATAATAATAATAATATACAACATTTATATAGCGCCCTATATGATTTGTAAAATTACTCTAAACCGCTTTACAACATATGGATAATAGTAATGGTTAAAATTGTGAAACAAAATCAAAGGCTTAACAATCACTTTTTTACATTTAAGCAAGCAATGTGCACATAATTGAAAAAATAAAATGGTGGTATTTACATGACGTCTTTGCAAGGATTTTAAAATGCAGACGTGAAGAGGTGAGTTTTGATGCCCCTCTTGAACTTGGCCAGGGAATTTGACTTTCTAACAGCAGATGGTAAGCTATTCCACAACGTAGCCGAAACCTTCCCAAAGCATCTGTTTCTGTAGGTCACAGTTCGAGATTTTGGGACACACAACAAAGATTCTGACTCCGATCGCAGTGATCGTGACGGCTGATACAGGGTAACAAGCTCATGTAGGTACTGAGGAGCTGTTCCATTCAGTGCCTTGTATGCTTACACCAGAATTTTGTACTGCGACCTGTATCGTATACAGGTAACCAGTGCAACGAATAAAGCACATTCTCTCACCCGTGAAATGTAACTGGTATACACCAATCCGAGAAATGTAACTGATATTTATCAACTTGTGAAATATAACAGATCTGCTCTCACACGTGAAATGTAACTTGTATACACACATCCGAGAAATGTAACTTGTATCCATCCACTCGTGAACTACAACTGGTATTCACTCACCCGTGAACTACAACTGGTATTCACTCACCCGTGATCTATAACTGGTATTTACCCACCCGTGAACTATAACTAGTATTCACATGTTCGTCAATTATAACTGGTATTCAACGTTTTCGTGAAATATGATTGATATTCACCCACCGGTGAAATATAACTGGTTTCACAATAACGTGCTCGTAATATAAAAATTCAATGTGTGAGCATATTGTGTGTACTATCATGTTCAACATTCTTATCTAAATATATAGACATCGATTGTGATTTGTCCAATTCCGTTAGTAACGATAGCAAGTAATCAATTCTTTGTAATTGACAAGTATACTGTACGTGCTGTTTTATGTAAGTGTATATATGATGAGAAATGCCAGAACATGAGAGAATCAATATAGGCCATGTCTGTTGTTCAATCCGTTTGATTGTCAGCAGTACTTTTCTAAAATGAAACGGCATCAGTGAGTTTTTTCTCTTCTTTTTGATTGCATTGCACGTTGACAAGAGGATCTAGAATCAATATCCACATATCTGTTATTACAACTCTGTATGATCATTAAGAAAATAGCACTGCCTTAATTGTTATCACTGTTGGTTAACCTGTTTTTACATTATACAACATCCAAGTCAATAGAGATATCTACCAATGATAAATATTCCGACGGCATCAGGTTGGTATTGTCAATATAAGCTGTTAATCCTCATACAAGGTCATAAAAGACGAAATTCAACGAAAAACAACGCAAAAAATCTGGAGGTTTCATATGTATTTGTATAGGAATGTGATACTATATCCATGCTAAAACAATTGATAATCAAACCGGCAATGAATGAGCAGGCTTTATATTTCATATTAAAAAAACCACAACAACTTATAAATGAATAAAACAAACGAAAAACAACACTAATTGGTAGGTATAACGTATGTCTCTCCCGAAAGGAAAAACTATTCCTATGAATTGCGTTAGAGTTGTCTCCCTTATTTTTTTATTAGATTAATAACAATTGTGAAAACCCTGGTTATTATCAACGCAATTCCAGTCGGTCGAGAATTCTAGAGCGTGTGACATCTCCACTCGTGAGGTATGGAGCGTGTGATAGCTCCACTCGGCCGTGAGGTCTAGAGTGTGACAGCTCCAGTCGGTAGTGAGGTCTAGAGCATGTGACCTCTCCACTCGGCGGTAAGGTATGGAGCGTGTGACCTCTCCACTCGGCGGTAAGGTATGGAGAGTGTGACCTCTCCACTCGGCCGTGAGGTCTAGAGTGTGACAGCTCCAGTCGGTAATGAGGTCTAGAGCGTGTGACCTCTCCACTCGGCGGTAAGGTATGGAGAGTGTGACCTCTCCACTCAGCCGTGAGGTATGGAGCGTGTGACCTCTTCACTCGGCCGTGGGGTATGGAGTGTGTGACAGCTCCACTCGGCCGCGAGGTCTAGAGTGTGACAGCTCAAGTTAGTAGTGAGGTATGGAGAGTGTGACCTCTCCACTCAGCCTTGAGGTATGGAGCGTGTGACCTCTTCACTCGGCCGTGGGGTATTGAGAGTGTGATCTCTTCACTCGGCCGTGAGGTATGGAGTGTGTGACAGCTCCACTCGGCCGCGAGGTCTAGAGTGTGACAGCTTCAGTCTTCCGTAAGGTATAGAAAGTGTGACAGCTCCAGTCGGTCGTAAGGTCTAGAGTGTGACAGCTCAAGTTAGTAGTGAGGTATGGAGAGTGTGACCTCTCCACTCAGCCATGAGGTATGGAGAGTGTGACCTCTCCACTCAGCCATGAGGTATGGAGCGTGTGATAGCTCCACTTGGCCGTGGGGTCTAGAGTGTGACAGCTCATGTCGGTAGTGAGGTCTAGAGCGTGTGACCTCTCCACTCGGCCGTGAGGTATGGAGAGTGTGACCTCTCCACTCAGCCATGAGGTATGGAGAGTGTGACCTCTCCACTCAGCCATGAGGTATGGAGAGTGTGACCTCTCCACGCAGCCGTGAGGTATGGAGCCTGTGACCTCTTCACTCGGCCGTGGGGTATGGAGAGTGTGACCTCTTCACTCGGCCGTGAGGTATGGAGTGTGTGACAGCTCCACTCGGCCGTGAGGTCTAGTGTGTGACAGCTTCAGTCTTCCGTAAGGTATAGAAAGTGTGACAGCTCCAGTCGGTCGTAAGGTCTAGAGTGTGTGACAGCTCCACTCGGCCGTGAGGTCTAGAGTGTGACAGCTTCAGTCTTCCGTAAGGTATAGAAAGTGTGACAGCTCCAGTCGGTCGTAAGGTCTAGAGTCTGTGACAGCTCCATGAGGTCTAGAGCGTATGACCGCTCCACTCGGCCGTGAGGTCTAGAGAGTGTGACAGCTCCACTCGGCCGTGAGGTCTAATGAGTGTGACCGCTCCACTCGGCCGTGAGGTCTAGAGTGTGACAGCTTCAGTCTTCCGTAAGGTACAGGAAAGTGTGACAGCTCCAGTCGGTCGTAAGGTCTAACGAGTGTGACAGCTCAAGTCGGCCGTGAGGTCTAGAGTGTGACAGCTTCAGTCGTCCGTGAGGTCTAGAGTGTGACGGCTTCAGTCGGTCGTAAGATATAGAAAGTGTGACAGCTTCAGTCGGCCGTGAGGTCTAGAGTTAGTGACAGCTCCAGTCGGCCGTAAGGTCTAAAGAGTGTGACAGCTTCAGTCGGCCGTGAGGTATAATGATTGTGACAGCTCCAGTCGGCCGTACGGTCTAAATAGTGTGTGACTGCTCCAGTCGGCCTCGAGGTCTAGAGTGTGTGACTTCTCCAGTCGGTCGTGAGTG